TTAGTTGTCCTATTTAAAGAAGAAATTGCCATTCCCCATTGTGTTTCCTTTGCATCTTTGTCAGAAATAAAGAGAGTGTAATGCACAGATTTATTTCTGGGATCTCTGGTCTGCTCCACTGGTCTAGGTGTCTGCATTTACACCAGTTTCATGCTGTCTTGATTACTATAGATTTGTACTAGATTTTGAAGTCAGGTAGTGTAATACCTCCAGCTTTGCTTTGTCTATTCAGGGATTTGATACAAATTTTTGGATTTTTTTATGCCTGTGAAAAATATCATTGGAATTTCAATAGAAATTGCATTGTATCTGTAGATTGCTTTGGGTAGTTTGGACATTTTAACAATATTCTTTTAATTCATAAATATAGGATATTTTTCCATTTATCTATGTCTTCCTTAATTTCTTTCATTAACAATTTACAATTTCCCATGTGCAAGTATTTTATCTCTTTGATTAAATTTATTCTTACATTTATTTATTTATTGTTATTATAAATGGGAATGTTCTTAATTTTTTCAGATAATTCTTTATTAGTGTATTGAAATACTGTTGATTTTTGGATATTGATTTTGTTTCCTTCATCTTTACTGAATGCACTTATCAGTTCTAAGAGCTTTTTGGTAGAATCTTTGGGATTCCTACATATAGGATCATGTTAACTGCAAATAGGAACAATTTAACTTCTTCCCTTCCCTGGGATGTTTGTTCTTGCTCTTTCCTGGTTCTGGCTAAAACTTCAGAACTAGACTGCATAGAGGTGGCAAGAGTTAGCATCCTTTTCTTGTTTCTGATTTTGGAGAGAAAGCTTTCAAAATTTTACCAGTTAACATGAGGCCTTCTGGGGTTTATCACATATGGTGTTGAGGTGCACTTGTTCTACACCTAATTTGTTCAAAGTTTTTTTTTTTTAAATCATAAAAGGATGTTGAATTTTGACCACTGTTTTTCTGCATCCGTTGAGGTAATTATATGGTTTTTATCTTTCATTCCATTAACATGGAACATCTCATTTATAGGTTTGCATCTGCTGAATCGTCTTTGCATCCTTGATTAAATCCCACTTGATCATGGTGAAATTCTGATCCTTTTAACGTGTTGTTGGATTTGATTGCTAATTTGTTTTTTTGTTTGTTTGTTTAGAATTTTTATATCTATTTTCAGCAGGGACTTTGGCTTATAATTTTCTCTTTTTAGTGTCCTGTCTGGCTTCATCATCAAAGTAATCCTAGCTTCATAAATGAATTTGGAAGTCCCCCTTTTTAACTTTGTGGAAGACTTTGAAAAGGATTAGTATTATTTCTTCTTAGATGTTTTATAGAATTCAGTAGCAAGATCATTGGATCCTGAGCTTATCTTTGATAGGAGACTTTTTTTTTTTTAAATTCAACTTCCTTAGGTTATCAAGCAAGGACTTGCTGCCCTACGGACACAATAATCTGTGTGGCAACAGATTATTGCAAAAAAGAAAAAGTTCTTTTGTGTGGTGACTGGAAAGGAACTAAAAATTCAAATCCACCTTCCTTTGGTGAGGTTATAGGAAGGGAGAAGGGAAAATCTGCTCATTGATTGAATGACAAGAAGGGCCAAAATTTTCTTTTAGGGGGTATGGGGGGGGCACTTATGTTCTGCATAGATGATTTTGAGCTTGTGACATCATTGACAGAGGACCTGACTGCTGCTCCTGCCCAGTCTGAAAAAGCTGGTTCCAAACCACGAAATCATTTCTGAGAGGCCTGGAGGACATAAGTTGTGAAATTTACATCCGGGTGTTTCCGGGTGTGAATCCATTTTACTTACTGTCCAGGTTTCCTGTTTCTTCATGATTCCACCTTGGTCAATCGCATGTGTCTAGGAAATATCCATCTCTGATAGGTTATCAAATTTCCTCTTCTTGTAAGGATACCAGTCAGGTTGGATGAGGACCTATCTTTAGGGCATTATTTTAGTTTAATCACCTCTTTAAAGGTCCTATCTCCAAATATATTCTGAGATACTAGGTGTTAGGGCCTCGACGTATGAATTTTAGGAGGGAAATAATCCACTCCATAACATCATTTAGGATCCAGGGGTAGCGGGTGCATGTTGCCAAGGCTTGAGGGCAGCTTGAACCCCCGATTTTTAGGGCTTTTCTCTACCAATGCTGGCATCTCCCAAAACAGCCTTGTTCCCTGTTTTCTTCTGTAGCTATCTCATGTAGGACTCACCTGAGTTGTCCCTCAGCAGTGACTGCCATCTGCTCCTGTGTCACCACACTGCGCTACCAGAAGTACCAGGAGGTAGCTGAGGCCTTCCACAAACTATTCTACTCTACCTTTGCTGTGGTGACAGGGCTGCCTCAGGCACCTCACGTACCTACCCCTGAGTCACACCACCTAACTGGACTTCATCCTGGAAGGGAGGCACAAGTCCACTCTCCTCCCCAGATTACAAACTTCATCTCACACCCCTCACCACCACCCACCGGAGGTTGCTGGGGGGAGAGTAGCAGTCAGGATGCAGGGGCCCTGTTTCAGGTTCTCACCACATCTAAGCTCTCCTTACTGCCTCTCTCACAACCCCAAGGAAAATCTCTTTGTGCTCTTGGGGCCATACTGTCTCTGCCTCAGTCCTTTCCATTCCCCGAACTGCTTCCATCTTTTGTAAGCTTAAACTCATATGATCCCCACTTTCTTCCTTTTCCTACTTCCTGACGAGAATCTCTTCTCTTGAGACAATAAACCCAAAATGGCTCATTGAGTGTGTAAGAGGAGACCCAAGGTACAAAGAAATGAGACTGAGAAAACAGAACAGTATTTCAAAATCTTAGCCCTCCATATTTAGCCGTGGTCTCCATTGCACAGGACAAAGGAGTGGCCTCACAGAAGAACCCTCATCAGCAGAATCAAATCCTGTGCTGTCTGCCTCATGGAGAAGTTGGAACCAGACAAATCCACATTCGATTCCTTTTTCCCCCATTGGGTAGCCCAAGTGCCCTGACTGGCCAGTGCTGAGTGCCCAGCTTGTGACCTCAGAAGGCTAGACACCTGGATACAAACGACAACCTCCATAAAGACAGTAATGCTGATTGGCTTTGTCTGACCTTTATGTTGTTAAAATGTCACAGTGACTCAGTGCTCTAATCAGCATTTCCAACTACTCATGAGAGACCCATGTGGTTGAAAATATGGCAATGCTCTATTTTTTGGCCTAAATAAGAAGGAAATATTATAAATGTTGGTAAACTTACTGTGTGAATTGGACAAAGGTTTTAGCACAGGTCGGCCACAATTTTTCTCCTATTAAATCAGGAGAAGTGAAAGTTTAATTGTATTTCTCATGTTCTTTAGTATATCCTTTTTTTTTTTATTTTTGTTTTTGAAGAGTAAACTACATAGAATTTGATGTGGACATGAAATTCTCTTTCCCTAAAAGCAGAAGTACAGTCTATTTAGGTAGTGTAAGAGATTCTCAGAGTCACGAAATACCCATGTTTAGAAACCACAGAGAAGCAGACGTGCCAAACCATGCAAAAAAAGGAGAATTTGGGATCGTAGTCACAAGTACACTGAAATCATTACTTTTGTTTTTGTAATGGCTTTTTAAAAAAAATAACTTTCCACATTGTGCTTTAATCCTTTATCATTTCAATAGCAACATATTCTGAATTTTGAAGTTCAAGTATGCCCACTTATTGGTAAATTCTTGTATACTTTTATGAATGTATTACCTTTGTTGTTCTTAATGAAAGACCTACAAAGAAAGTATCAAAGACTTGTACATTCCTGATATACTCGATTAAGTCCAAGATGAATAATTGTGGCTGCATCACAAGATCACCTTTTCCTACTCTGGGTAGAAAAGATCCTCCCAATAGCCTTCAGTATCTTCTTACACACAGAGACTCAGGGTGTGCTGATTCATAAAGCCAAAAATTCCCATCCCAGATTACGTCTGTCTGTATGATGTGATAGTTTCCAAAATGATGTCTAATGATATATATATATATATGGAAGTTCTAGGAGATAAGTAAACCATTTGTAAATTTGGCGGTAACTTTTAACTCATTACAGTACTACATGAGTTTCTATCGTAACTATCTATATTAGTCTTAAACTATCTATGATCTTTCAAGGTTCATAAAATTATTTATTTACCCAAGACAGGAAGTTTAATTGGTTTTGAAAATCTCTGTTTTCTATTCTCAGAGGAGAGTTAAAAGACAATGAAATACTACACATATAAAACCATTAGCCCTAAAAAGAAAAAGAAAAAAAAAAACTTTACAGAGTAGTCTCCCTTAGCCTCCCCAGGCAGCACCCCATCAGCTATTGAACCACGCTCTCCACCATCAAACACCCAACCCCCAGTCTCCTTCTTCTGTCTTGTTCCCCAGAACTCGATCGCCCGCATCCACCTGCAGCATCATCTCTTATCTCACACTTTCCTGTTTATCATACCGTATCTGTACTTCTCCTTTACTAGGTGATAAGCTCCTAGTCATAGAGGGTCATAGACAGGTCTTATACGTCTCCCAGCACAGTGCCCTGAGAATAGCATAGAAATATGTACTGATGGAATGAATGAAAAAGTGAAATATCTAGTGCATCTTCTATTAAGTAAAGCACCTATAACATCAGTACATATTTGTAATTAGAATGCAAAGAGAAAAGTGAGTCATAAAAATTACACACAGTAAATGATAAAAACATGTTTTAGCATACTTAAGAGATTGACTTTTTTTTTTAGTTGTTCAAACTTGGACAATATAAACCTTCCCATTAAGATGCTGCTTCCTCATTGGTTTATGATGAAATGTGAGCTATGAGTGCAATTTCCTGTCCTCACTTCAAGAGTGGTGGTTTCTCTTCTCAATGCCAGATTTATCAGGCTCCTCAGTCGACAAAAGCATCACTCCAAGAAACAGGGGTAAGTGTAAGATTACAAACAGAATAAGATTTTAAGCGAGATAACATACTTTGGCAGGATGGTCAGCAATGGTTGCAGCGTTTTATCTGGTTTAGGATGTATAAATGTAACAAGGCAGAGAATTGTAGAGAGACACAAAGAGGAAGACGCATGGTTTCCTCTGCTTTGAATATGGGTAAAGAGATGTCGAAATTTAAATTCATGAAGAGTTAAGTAGAACTATGCGTATACAAACAGGGAATGTAAGTGCTCCATTTCCTTTTCGGAAAGTGGTATATTAGAAAACTGCATTGTTTAGGAGGAAACCTATCAGCTCCTAGCTGTAGGACTACCTCACACCTTTCTTTAGCAAACAATGATCTAATGATATGTTTTATATTCATCAGAAATAATGTGAAGGGGCTGGAGTTGTGGCTCAGTGGATGCTTGCCTGGCATGTGTGAGGCACTGAGTTGGATTCTCAGCACCACATATAAATAGATAGATAAAGTTAAAGTCCATAAACAACTAAAAAATATATACATGCATATATATATGCATATGTATATATATGTGTGTGTGTATATATATATGTATAAAATAATGTGAAGTTAGGAAATAATGTTTCTAAAATTAATAAGCATCAATTAATAACTATTTGTTAGTAAGTGACTATCACAGTGCCTGGAACACAGTAGTCTTAATAAGCAGCTATTAAAATGATAACTGATCGTGAGCCTTCTTATAACACTATAGGAAAACAGTTTCCTTTTGGTAATTCTCATCAGTGATTCTTCTATTTTTAGAGCTGTTTAGAAATAGGTATACTTTAAGATTCTATAGATTGATTTTTGGCATTCAGTAAAGAGTAAAATAAAAATTCAAAACTCATCTAGATTTCTTAGTGGTTCTAAAAGCAATTTTCTCCAAATCTGATTAAAGTAGACAAAATAACATTTGCAAAACGTATGAATAAGAGGATGTTTGTTTTCCACTAAAATTGTAGACCTGCATGCATTAAGTTAACAAGTTTATCTGCAAACCTTGGTACCGTATGTGAAGCATTACCGTTCAAACCAGGCTGAGTTCCTCTGGTTCCTCTGGCCAGGTGGTCAAAGTGAACTCCTTGTAAGAAATGTGGGGGACAGCACAGATGATAGCAGCATATTACCAATGTTGCCATTGAAACAACAGTGACAGTTAGCATAGAGTGAAGGCTTGCCATGTGCCAGGTTCTCTGCCTGGTGTCCATCCGGTTCAACCCTCACCACTACCCTGTGACTAACAGAACGCATGTGGAAATTGGAACTTAGGTCACAGATCCCCCAAAGACCATGGAGAGGCTTTTCAACTGTCTCCAGAGCCCACGCTCATAACCACAAGGTTATAGGGGCCTCTGTTGCCCAACAGAGAGGAGACCCAGTATCTGCTTCATCAAACCATCCTCTCTTGTGGTTATTTTCAGCAAGGAAGGAAACTCTTCTACAGCTCAAGAAATTCATTCTATTGAGAACTTGATAAACTCTTCCAAAATCAGTTTGTCCACTTTATACTTTTTTTTTTTAGAGAAAAAAAATGTATACTTATTGAGTAACATTGAGAAGGGGTGCACACGGCCATCCTCCTACAGTTGTAGTCCTGGTCCCATGGGAGAATGTTTTCAGGGTCCAGGTGTGTCAGCCTCGTGGGGAACACCGTGTGGTGTCTTCTTCAGGTTGCATCTTTAATAGCTTCATCAATTCTTGGTGCTTCTCAGACTCCTCTCTGGTCCTTTAATTATATCCTATAGAAGCTGCTGAAGTGAGAAATTCAATGGGAGTAAATTTTCTCAGTGATAGTTGGTCTTAAAATGTTCTTATTTTTTTCTCCGGTTCTAGCAATTTAGTTCTGTTGTGTACACAGTTACAGGTGACATATATTTTCTTAGCTGTTTAGGACTATTAATCCTCTGTCTACTATTATTGTTTTTATTAAATCCTTTGTCAGTCTAAATTTTATCCTCTGTCGGTAATCCATCTTTTCTCTCTGGCTATTTTTTATCAGTCTTTGGTGATCTGCAGTTTGATATAGATTTCCATTTCTGTTTGTTTTAAAATCCTATTTGGAATTTGTAAGTCTTCATAAATCTGAAGACTTCATCCTTCATCAGTTCTAGAAAGTGCTGAAATATTATCTATGAAAATATTGCCTCTTCCCTATTCTCTCTTCTCTACTTTTGTGCCACTCGAGTTACACACATGCTGACCATTATTCTCCATGTCCCTTTGGTGTTTTCTCATCTCTTTAACATTGATCATTTCATCTTCTTTCTTTATTTCTGTCTTGCAAAATACTGATTCTCTCTTTAGCTATATCAAATCAATTGGTTGATTTTCAAATTTAAAGTATTATATTTTTATCTAGACACTTTATTTCAATCTTTTAAAAATACATCTGGTCATTTTTATCTTCTCTTGCTCCTCACTTATGTGTTCCAATTCCTTCTTTCATTTCTTTAAACATATTAAACACACTTGTTTTTTGTTATATACTAATGTACCTCTAAATCTTTGGTGGATCTAGTTCTTTTCTTGTTTCTGCTCAGTCTCACACGTAGTGGTTTATTTCTGTGTGGGTGTGTACGCACATGTGTGTTTTAGTGAGGTCATAATTGTTAGAACCCTATCTATGG